TATCATATCTGTCAGTATCACTGTATCTATATCTGTCAGTATCACTGTATCATAATCTGTCATGTACTATCATATCTGTCGATCACTATATCTTCAGGATCACTGTATCATATCGCGTTCCTCGTATTCTACTGCGACGAAGACTCGCTGGAAAGAAAAGAAACGTTTGTTTTTATCCACTCCTGATGACATCATGATTTATGTGATCTGTCTGTAGAGTCCGATGTATTGCACGCCGCCGGGTCCGACGAAGACTCCGATGCGAACGCCTAAGAGCGTGAGACGCGGCGTGGAACCGAGGGATCAGTGTGACAGAATCATCGGCACTCCTGACTACCTCGCCCCCGAGCTCATTAACGGGCTGGAGCACGGTACGAGCGCAGCAAGCAAGAATGCAACTCTGTAGGAATCTGTCGACCTCTCGCTCTCTCTCTCTCTTTCTTTCATCGCTACTTCTCTCTCTCTCTCCTCTCTCTACTCTCTCTCTCCCCTCTCTCGTTCTCACTCACTCTCTCTCTCTCTTTCTCACTCGCTCTCTCTCTCTCTCTCTTTCGTTTCTCACTCACTCTCTCTCTCTCGTCTCTCTCGCTCTCCTCTCTCTCTCTGTTCCTCCTTTTCGCTCTCTTGTCTCTCTCTCTTGTCGGCTTGCTCTCCTGTCTCTCTTTCTCTTTCTCTGTCTCTGTCTCTCATCTCTCTCTCTCTCTCTATTCATACTCCCGTCTCTGTTGCTATCTCCCATGATACAGTGATACTGACAGATATGATACAGTGATACTGACAGATATGATACAGTGATACTGACAGATATTGCACGGTGACACTGACCAGCACTGAATTATTGTATACAATTAACTCCGTGATGAGCTAGGTATAATGCGAACCACTACTACTACTACTACTACCTACTCCGGAGGAGGAGCGTGCTTAGAAAGGAAACATCCATTTACCTTCCACTGGACTGTCTGCTGTGGCGTTCTCGACAAGAAACCATCGGAGGCACCGCATCGAAGTCGCTCTGAGTTTGCTGCGCTCACATCTGAAGAAGCCGTGTTACGAATGTCAGCGTTGTCAGCGCGAAAAAATACAAAAGAGAAAAATGTAGCACGAACGCAGAACGAAGGTAATCGTTGTGTTACGCTTTCTTTAACTCATACCTCCTAGCCACTTGATGGGACAAAAATATAGGAAATATAGGCGGTTGTGTCAAAATATAGTAGTTCTATAGGATTCTATAAAACATATAGGGAAAATAGGAAATATAGGATGTCTGGGAGGTCTGTTAACTGCGATTGCGACAACGCTATGATATTATGATGATTTTTTGGGGGGGGGAGGGGTTATTTTTATCGATTACGCTACCTAGAGCTCACCCGAGAATACGGCGAGCGATTCGTTGTCATTGAATCGGACGGAGAGCGGCAACGGCAGGCTGGTACGTCTCTTCTTCTTCATGCGCGACTCGTCATCGTGGCTCTCCCCGTCCTCCCCGCCGGCCGCCGCGTTGTTCCCCCGCGCGTCGGCGATCCCTTCGCCTCCGCTCCGGTTCACCTCGGCGCGGTGTACCGCGTCTGTGATGCAGCCGTGCATACGACCGGTCGCCCGTCCTCGACGCACGCCGCACGCGACATCGGCGGCGGTGTCACCACCCTCAGCTTCCCTCACCCCTACTCCTACGACGCTACAGCCCTCAGTCTCCGCGAGGAGGCGAACCGGGATGCTGCTCCCGGCTACGCTCAACATCACCAAGGGAGGCTGCGGCGCGTCGTCGTTGCCGCGGGCGACCGGGGCTTCGTCCGCGTCCCACGCGATGCTCTGTATCGGCGGCCTCCCGCGCGAGAGCCGGCCGCCGGGGAGAAACACCGCGGAGGAGGAGGCGCTCGCACGGGCCCTCTGCCGCCGGATGTCGTCGGGGGTGTGGATCGGATCGCACGGCGTGTAGCGGCGCTTGCGCGTCGACGCCCTCCGGGATGCGGGCGGGGGCGGCGGGCTCGCGCGAAACACCCCATCGCTATCGTCGGACCCGCACGTCGCGTCAGGGGAGCGGCGGCGCCGGTCACACCTAGCGAGCTCTATGTTTCCGAGGGAGTCGTCCCGCGTGGCGGCGGCGTCATCGTCGCAATCTATCCTCGCATCGCCGATCCCGTCGGCAACAGCGGCGACCTCACCGACTGCGCCAAAATCCGGGGTCGTGAGTTTCGCGAGTTTGGTGCTGCTCTCCCGACCCGTCTCTCTCCTCTCTCTATCTCTCTCCATCGTCTCTCTCCCACCTCTATTTCTCTCCATCGTCTCTCTCCCACCTCTATTTCTCTCCATCGTCTCTCTCCCCTCTCTATCTTTCTCCATCGTCTCTCTCCCCTCTTTCTCTCTCTCTTCGGACAGGTATCCTTCCCGCGTGGACGCCGGCGGCGACTCGGCACACTCAGATCGCGAGTCGACGCGTTTCGGACGCGGCTCCGCGCCGCCTCTGCCGCCGTGCAGCGATATGCCGTCAAACACGCGCGTTATTCCCGTGCCGCCGCCGCGGTGGTGCTCCGGCTCCGGCCGCGACGTTTCCATGAGGTTGACGCCCCGCTTCCTGCCACCACTCGACGGTCCGGCCGACCCCCCCACAGAGGACGACGACGACGACGGCAAACCCCGGCGATCGATCTCCACGGCGCCGTGTTTCGCCGTCCCGGCTGAACGCGAGGACGGATGCGCCGATCTGCTCGCGCGCGCCGCCGCCGCATCGTCGCGCGTCCGACCGACGTTAACGACGCTCGCGGAGTCGTCTCGACGCTCCTCCAACCTTCCGTCGGCCGGGCCCCTCTCGTCGCGGGGACGAGCGGGAGCTGCGACGCTCTGAGGCAGCGGTGAGTCGCCGTCTCGCAGCCTCCGCAGGCTCAGTGCCGAGTAGGAGCCGTCGATCTCAGACTTGCTCTTGAAGAATACGGGCGTCTCCTTCAGGCCGCCCTCCTCCTCCTCCCCCGCCGCCGCCCCGCTGCCGGCGGCGTCCTCTCCCGACGCGTCTACGATCGCGTCGCTCGCGTTCGCTATCGTGTCGTCTGCTTTCACCTTCGCGTCGTCTGGTCGTGGCACTGCCTCGTCCGCCATCGCCGTGACGACGCCGCATCCGTCCGTCGCCGGGACGACGCAGCATCCGTCGTCGTGGTCCGTCTCCGACTCGGAGCAGCAGTAGTCGCTGCTGAGGTTTGCGAGTGGGAGGAGGCTGGGAGTGCGGGGTTCCCCGGAGGAGGACGCGTCCGGGCTCGCATCGCCGTCCGTCGCCCGGGAAGCATCCCCGCGGATGCGGGAGGAGGAAGAGGAGACGGGACTGAAGCCGATCTGCTTGACGACGTTGTCGCGGAGGGAGTTGACGGCCTGGGCGACGTCGTCTCGCAGCTTGGGGGTCGTCGACAGGAGAAACCTCACCTGCTCAGAGTTGACAAGAGAGGGAGTTGGTTAGAGACGCGTGCATCTTATAGTGTGTGTGTGTGTGTGTGTGCGTGTGCGTGTGCGTGTGTATGTGTGCACGCGCGCACGCGTGTGTGCATGTGCATGCGTGTATGTGTGTGTGCATGCGTGCGTGCGTGCGTCTGTGTGTGTGTGTGCGTGCGTGCGTGCGTGCGCGGCGCGCGCGTGTGTGTGCATGAGTGCGTGCATGTGTGAGTGTGTGTACGCGTGCGTGCGTGTATAGACCTGCAGGAAAATCTCATGCCTGCTTATACGCAGTTTTTACCAGTGATTCAATACTAATACTCATGTCACATAAAAAAACGTACAATGTTACCATCAGATTTATTGTCTGATTTTAGCTGATATTCTTGCACATGGATCGACAAAACTCATCGACTCTTGCCTGTGATCGATACCAGCATTGTCAACTTCCCAAGCATGCACACTACATACATACATACAGTACATGCATCATGCAAAACCATGATGGCAAGTCAGAAATCTTTGCTGCGAATATTTTTGCAGAACCCAGAGCCTCAATCAGCTTTGACTGCCACAAAGATTTACCGACGATCGGTTGGAAAACATGCACAGATCTTCTAAAAAGATGCACGATCTTATTTCTTAACATGACCACTTATACTGACATTTAATGTTTCCTCACCTGACCACGTCGTGAGTTCTCGTCTGCTACGCCCAACGCACTTGTTTCCATGGATACGTGCATGGGACTGATGTGATGTGGCACGTGCAATTCCACGTTAACCTCCATTTTGTTGTCCTTCAGTGGTGTCGACTGCATTTTGGTTCGATCGACACTCTGGGAGGCCAGAGAAACATTTGCTTTAGACCAGTTAAAATTAAACTTTGATTAATTCAATAGGTTTAGATTGATTCATAATCAAGGCATATTTTATTTGAGAAAAATCCACCATTATTGAGAAAAATTATTTATTGAGAAAAATTACCATTATTGAGAAAAATTATTTACAAGGCTCACATATAATGAATAGATAATAATGTGTAATTTTAATCTCATAACTGACAAGAAGGCGATAAAAATTCCAGCAACTTAAGAAATATAAGGTAGCTTCATTGTTACTCACGAATGCCAAATTGCTTGTTAGGGATAATACTTGTCCGGGAGTCCTAAAATAATCACTTCCACTCTTTGTTACAAATGGCGTTCCAATGACATCTGCTACTCCAATCTCTGACAAACATACAAAAGAAAGAATAACATTAACCATTTTTTTTAAATTGATAGTTACATTAGGTAAAAGAAACAAAAGAATTAAATTTCACAGAAATCTACAACAATTAAAAGAAATTTTGTCACATCTGCATAGTGACACAAAAAATTCGAATATTCACCTAAGCAGACCTAATAATAGAAGAAAACGCATTAAATTTCACAAAAAATCTATAATAATAAGAAGTGCATCATAATTACGTCTGTTCAGTGACACTTTGGATAGTCCGAAATCTGTCAGCTTGATGTGTCCTTCGTTAGACACGAGCATATTGTCAGGCTTCAGATCTCTGTAATATAATGCAATATAAATAATAATAAAAAACAGTTGCACACAGTGTCAATATTTGCAGGATGATCACACTATTTATGCTAAACAAATACTTTATGTTAATATGTGGTTCTCACTCTTCTGTAGCCACTTCCGTTTATTTCACATATGAATATATACGTAAATGGTATTTCAGATGCAGGAAGTCGTATAAAATGTACGGTCTAACTGTGAATGATACCACTCCTGCACAGGTAACACACGATGGTACATATGATACTACATCTTTATACTGATAGATCCATAGCTCCTGCTTTGACTTCATGTTATACACATCACTTGTGAATAATGGTATTCTGCACATGCAGAACGGTATAGCTGAGATTCACATCGAGTATACGAATAGTTCAAAGTGTTTCACCTGTGGATGATGCCATGTCTATGCAGGTAGTCTAACGCGAGAGAAACCTCTGCTATATACATCACAGCCATGGGACAGTCAAAGAAGCCATACACCAACAGTAAAGACTTCAGATCACCTCCAATCATGTAATCCATCACCTGAATCAAATCGAAAAACAAACACATTTAAAGACAACAATCATTGCTGGGCAAATACATTATTTTACAGCACTTCTCTAATCTGGCAAAAAAAAACGAAAGAAAAAAGCAATGACAGTAAGCACTTCAAGCTATGTGTATAAAAAATGCATTGCCTTACATATACATGCACGAGTAGATCAACTAAGTTTACATGTGTATTATATGATTCAACAATACATATATATTCTACATATGAAGTTGATATGTTTCGTAAATCTACAGTCATAGACATTGCAGCGAATTGCCAAACTGCTTGTCCATATCTCCATCTTATGAAGACTTAAGTAGGAACAAAGTAGGTCTCAGATATATCAAGCAGGAGCATACTTACAAGAAAGACATTTCTCCTCGTCTGCAAGGAATAGAATAACCTTACAATAAAAGGGCTGCTTGACAGAGCCAGGGCATCTCTCTCCGCAATAACTGCAATTGATAAAACTATAAATAATATACATAATTTCTTACAAATATGCTAGATTTAGTTCCATGAGTCATTTTGCTGTCGACAATGACTAATGTACGATTATGTGTATAGCTGGAACTTGATTCAAAGAAATGTTGGAAACAAATAACCATAAACGGTAAAACCCCTTAACTCAACCACATGGCGTTTTGTTGTTGTTGGCCATTGACCAACGCCAATACAGTTGAATAAACCTAGTGAATATATAATCTCTCTCTATAAATATATAATACTTTTTAACTCTAAAGTGAATGCAACAAGGATTAATGTGTTTACCGTGTAGCTACTAAACAAACTGTAGATACTTGCCTTGGTTTGTCATATTCTTGTTCACCATCTCATCTTTCTTCATTACCTTAATGGCATATAAGCGACTTTGGCATGTCTTCTTGTATCCAAGGTAAACTTTCCTACAATCACATATATGCTTTCAATACAGAATTGTCCAAACCCAAATTTCTATTGTGAATATATATGTGCAAGAAGCACGCAGTTTCAAACAAGTGAAAGGTCCAGAAGTAAATCTATGGGTCAGTCAGCACAAGTCTTTTTGTGATTGCAAGCATGATTTCTCCAGCATGATAATATTATGTAAATGTCTAAATGATGAAAGAAGTGACCAAAGGCTGCTTAACATTTTATACATACATGCACGCACATGCACACTCACTTTTATACTATTATACTCACCCAAACGCTCCGCGACTGATTGGTTTAAGAAGCACAAAGTCATCAATGCTGGGTGGCTGAAAAGAAACAAGCAAACATATATGGAATAAACCAAACGAAACAGAGTCTTTCAAACTGTACTAGAGCCTATAGTACAATAAAACAAGATGAGACGGGATACTAGAAAAGCGTTGCCGAAAGGAGGTGTTAATCCAAAGCGCTAAGCGCAGATCTTGCGCGCAT